TATTGAAGTGTATGTATCCATCTCTTTCGTCTTCTACTATCATATTGTGGAGTATAATGCAAGCTCTCATAATCTTTCCTATTTTTTCTTTTTTTCCCAAAACAGAACTGGATTTTTTATGATGGCAAATCGAGCTTGTAAGACTCCAAAAGCACGTTCAACATCTTTTTGAGCACCTTCTTGACACTCTGCAAATAAACGTGCTTTGCGGCCTTGTGGAAATGGAATGGATTGAACAAAAGTAGTCCATTTAGGATATATACCATTTAGGCTAAATCATATTCCCTTCCATTGACAGAGAAATTCACTTGCGGAGCACGACCTTGTATTATAGAGACGTTTACATATTTTGGCACTTCTTGAGTTATTAATTACAAAAAATGGCACTTTTGTTTAGAGTAGTTCTTTTTCCAAACTTATACACGTGAAATGGCTTTATAGTCCTTGTGCAAGAATTTTGTGGGAAAACTGGTTAAGTTGAGTCTGCTAACCGATATTTTAATTCATTAACCAGAATAATATTTCTCATCATCTCCTTCTCTCAGATCCCTTTTCTTCCTTTTCTTCACCTTGTTCTATTCCTCTCAGATTTTTCTATCTTTCAATCTATCTCTCAGATCCTTCTTCTTCCTCTTTTCCATCTTATTCTCTTCCTCTTGGATCTTTATCTCTTTCTCATATCTCTTTTCTTCTTCTTCTCCACTTTGCTCTCTTCATTTTTATTTCATTGACAGTGGCCACAAACTTTCTCCACCACCACCACCACCACTCTTCGTCTTACCAACATCACCGCCACAATCTCCACTGCTAATCGCATTGTGGACAATCCTCTCTCACATTCAAACGACCACCGCTGCTATCATCTCTGTTGCTGTCCATGTAGCCATCTCTGCTGTTTTCCATGCCGTTGTCCAAGCCTTTTGGCCTCTCCGCCGTTGTCCATGAGAAAAATGCGATGACCCCGCAACCATTTTGCTTCTTCTACCAATAAACGTGAAGTTTATAGGCGTATCCACACAGACAAACACTTTGTCCATCGTGACTACGTCCATGATATATTTTCTATTGTGACCACGTCTATAATGTACATATATAGTGGATTTAATCTATCGATGAAACACACCGACTTAGCCTTGTCCATATGGACACAATTACCATGTACACATGATCTAAACATAACAGACACAAAAAAACTTGGCCTTGTCCACACGTTTACAATATATATATATATATATATATATATAAATCTACAATATGTATTTACCACATAGATTCATATATGTGTTAAATACATGGATATATATAAATTTCTCGGAATAGGGCAATAATAGCGTATGACCATTCCAACTGATGCATTTCGACATATACGTATCCACGTGTATCAAAGATTTAGTATTTGGAATGATGTATGCTTTTCACTATTTTGGTTAATTATGATGTTGGTTCTTTAGTTATGGTTTTAAATACAATATAGTCGCATCTATATGGACATTGACATAATGGATTATTGGTTTGCCTCTATATGGACATGGACATAATGGATTATTGGTTTCTATTATTTTTATATTAATTTAGACGAGATTATTTGTGTCTATTGATGCTGGAAGCTAAGCAATGAACGCATATTTGATTGTTTTAAATTCTCTTGTAGTCATGGATATGTCCACATGGATAGGTTTCTATCTGATTGTTATAAATTCTCCTTGTAGTTATAGCCACATATATCCTATTTGGTATCTATGGTTAGGTACATCTATTTTGTGGACATGGTTAAGTACGTATATTACTATATTCTATGGGTATATGAATAAGTGAGACAATATGGACGCTTGTAGAAAAAGTGAGACACTATGTACGCTTGTAGAAAAAGTGAGACTCTATGGACGCTTGTAGAATCTTGTCCAATCTAGTGTGAGTTTAAATGTGAGGAACTTGGTGGTATGGTTATTATGTTCTGTTAGATAAACCATGTACATGTTATGGTGTTATGGTCGTTGTTCTCTAACTTTTCTTATATTATTGTCGGGTTGAAAGATCATTTGGCTGCCTTGCATTGGCCTGTTCTTTTGAATAGTAATGGACATATCCACATGGATAGATTTCTATCTAATTGTTGTATATTTTCTTTATATTTATGGACATGCCCACATATGTTCAAGCCAGTATAACATTACCTGTACTTATAAACCTACAAGCCGTTCTTATGCTATGAGAAACTATCAAACATGCTTAAAAGCTTTAACTATATGGAAGTGTGACAATGGTATATGTGAACGAAAAGCATACGTGAACGAAATCATGCACAAATGCATATGTGAATATATATAATAAATCATCTTTGTGGATACGACCATATTGAAACGAAGGATTATCATGCATTGCTTTTGTCCTTGTGGATACATTCACACTGTAATATGTAGACACGTCCATGCTAACAAAACTAATTAACGTCCTTGGTGTAGATAAGTCTACACTGATACGTCCACACTGCTGCGTTCACACCATTGCGTTTATAACATCCTTGGCAGTATGTGTGGATGTTACTATATCTCTGACTTGGTGTAATAAACAATGTTGGCGCAGCAATTTATTAGACTACACATGTTGCTAAGTGGTCATGTGTGGCTAAGCCATTGGTATAATTAATTAAGGTATATAGATGTAGCCATATGGATGTAGCTATATCAACGAAAACACGTACAAAGATTGTTGGCAGTATGTGTGGATGTGACTATATCTCTGATTTGGTGTAATAAACAATTTTGGCGCAACAATTCATTTGACCATATACATATGGCTATATCATCCATTGCTTAACCATATATGCCCATGGAGGTGACCATAATCAGCATTGTTTAGGAGAGGGGTGATAGCGGTTTGATAGGAGAGGGGTGACGACGGACGTCTTCGCTCTAGTCCAATTCCGCTTCGGACTGGAAGCATCATCATCTTCATATTTCGCCGGAAATTTGGGTGCGGTGAGGACAGAATATGACTGCAGGTAGATCATGGAGTGCCATGGCTGAGTTTTAGCGAGGAGATGCGAGAAACAGCAAAACAGATCTAAAAAAAGAACAAGCTAGAGTGAGGAGAGGAGAAGAACAAACTGGAGGAACAAATTAGCTTGAGAGATCTTGACAAAACGAGGGATAAAAGTGAGAGTGAGGAGAGAAAGAAACAGGAGGAGGAAGAAGAAGATTTATGATAGGGAGTCAGAAAATGGACAAATAAAACAATAATGTCTCGTAGAAAAGAAAAGATAAAGAGATAATTGAATTGGTTTGGATTTAAAATGTTGGTTTGATTTAAAATGTTGATTTGGTTTGATATCATGTAATTAAGGGTGAGTTTGTCTTTGCACAATATGCAAACATCAAAAAGTGCCACTCCAAATAAAAGTACTAAAACGTGTAAATACAAAGTGAAAAAGAACCATGGAGTGTAAATTTCTCTGTATTATATCATCAAACAAGGGTGAGCGATCAAGAACATTTATATCGTTTAAGGTACATGGAGGTCCAAAAAATGCATGCCATATCCACATGTCATATTATGCCACGGCCTCTAAAACAATGGTGGGTTTTCCTGCTCCACGTGAATATTGCCCTTTCCAAGTGGTAGGGCAATTCTTCTACTCCCAATGTATACAGTCGATGCTTCCTATCATTCCGGGAAATCCGCGTTGCTCTGCAAAATATAGTAAACGTTGAAGATCCTCTGGTGTGGGTCTTCTCAGGTATTCATCACTAAACAAATCTACTATTCCTTCGACAAAATATTCCAAACATTTCCAAGCAGTTGTTGCACCAAGCCGGAGGTACTCGTCCACTGAATCAGCCGCCGTGCCATATGCCAGAAGACGAATTGCTGAGGTACATTTCTGAAGTCCGGATAGACAGGGTCTTCCAATAGCATTTTTCTTCTGTCGAAAGTATCAGACTTCATTGGATAGTCGTTCAACAATCTTCATGAACAATGGTTTGTTCATTCTAAAACGACATCGGAATAGAGGAGGCAGGTATGTTGCATCTTCATTGAAGTAATCATTCCATTAACGTATATGGCCTTCTTCACTATCTCTTTCAATAAAAGCCCTTTTTTTTTTGAGAATTGGTTGCTTCTTGGTGATGACCATGATCAATGAAAAAATTATCGAAAGTTTGATAAAAAAAACTGATCAAATTGTTGATCAAAAGCTTGATCAAATTGGCGATTAAAATTTGCATCTAATGCATCATCAATATTATTATTTAAAGATGAAGCCATTTTTTTTAATGGATTTTGTAAGAAGAAAATGGTTTGGTTAGAAATATGTGGTGATGAACAGATTTGGGTTTACGGGTTATTGAGAACAAAGTGGATATTGAGAAGATTGTGGTTTACGTTTTGGTGAACTAAAAGAAAAACGTAATTATAGATGAAAGAGAGAAAGTGAGAAATGTTGAATGAAAGATGTGAATGGTACACATTACACAAAATAATCACAAAGTATATATAGACAAGTGTTGAATGAAAGATGTGGTGATCAATAAATACATATACTTGTGAACACAAATTTTTTTTACAGATTACAATAAATCATATCTTCAGCCCTTGTATTTATCTGCTGAGTGGTGTTTCTTTTGTGCCCACATGGTATCGACTTTATGGCCTGTGGGTTGTGTTGTTCTCTTGTGCCGACTTCAAGTAATCATCACACAACTCCAACTCTTTCCTGACACACAAATAAACTAAGATAAACACAGATATAAATATAAACCATAAAACATAAGAAAATCATAAACACAGATATAAATATAAACCATGAAACATAAACCATAAAGATAAATATCATTAACCTAAAACACAAGTACAAAGCCGATTGATACCATACATAGCATCACATAAGAAAATGAACTATAAAACAGAAAACCATGAAACAGAGAACCAAACAACATAGTTATGCTACAACAGAAAACGAAACCAAACAACAACTTATGCTAAAACAACTCAATAATCACTTAAGAAGACAACAAGTCGTTCATGATCTTCATCTTAACTGCCTCTTCAACCTCAGTAAGAGCTTCTTTTTTCTCAATGAGACTGTCAAAAAGGGCCACAGCTTTTTCTTCGACCGTTGCTCTTTTCCCTTTGGCTTTAGTAGCCTTCACACCAATAGGTCGGTTGGAAGGGAGATCATCTTCACCACTCTTCAGCTCCTCTGCAACATACCCCGGTGATGCAGCACACTCATCAGTCCTTCTCCTTTTAGCCGATGCATCTCCCTTAGTTGTGGAAAGATTCTCACAACACTTTTGATCGTACCTCAACTCTTTCCATGCGTGTTCAAGATTGAACTTCTTCTTCTGGTTGGTGAAAAAAATTTGGTGAGCAAGCTTAATGACATCGTTTTCATTCATCCCACTTGTCTTTTCTCTTGTAGCCGCCTCATACGCACCAGAAAATTTACACACAAGGTCGTTCATCTTGTGCCACCTCTGCTTGCATTGGTTTGCATCGCGGGGTTCACGGAATTATTGTTTGCAGCATAGTACGCCGATATCCTCTTCCAGAAAGCTCCACTTTTTTGCTCATTGTCCACTATAGGGTCTTTACTGGTATTCAACCAAGAACTGATGAGGAGGACATCATCGCTGGGGGTCCAAGTCCGCCTTTCTCGTTGCTCCTGAGCTGTGCATTGAGAACTGAATGGATCATCAAAGGGAGGTTCTTGTTGACTATTCAACAAGTTAACAAAGTTCGAAGGTTGAGAAAGTGAAAATGTGGATGGAAATTCCATTGAAACGGAGAGAAGAGAGAAAGTATAGAAGGAGTGAATGCAAAGATGGCTGCGAAAAGAAAATGAAAGAGAAATGACGAGAGAAAGAAATGAAAAAGAAAGAGGCAATAAGAAGGAAGGAAGGAGTTGCATTTAACAACTCTGATCTTCTTTAACGAAGATCAAGGAAAAGAAGGAAGGAAGGAGTTGCATTGATCAACTCTAACCACTATGACATGACATGAAAATTTAATTTGGCATTCAAAACCTATCTAACAAACATGCTTTTATGACCATTATCTAACTCTAACAACCATTTATTGTAATGTTAACTCTAACTAACCATTCTAACCAAGCTAAACTCTAACTTCTACAAATGAAATCTTACCAGGTTTGTCTGCAGCTTCACTTTGAGATTCAACTACTTTAACTTGCCTCCACTAACCTCCAGTTGTCTCGCCTTCTTCCAGGAGTGTCTCGCATTCAAAGCAAAACAACATTAGTTAAACTTATATTTCAAGCAAAAACATTCCCAACAAAACTAAAACAGTCCCAAACAAACTAAAACAAACTAAAGCAAAAACAATCCCAAGCAAACTAAAACAATCTCAAGCAAATTGTAAACCAGAGCAAAAACATTTACGATTATATACACCTCATCAAAAACAATCTCAAGCAACTTCTATTTACAGTTCATCAAAAACAATCTCAAGCAACTTCTATTTACACAGGCTGTCGATTTTTACAATTATTCATTCAAGCAACTTCTATTTACACTTCATCATTCAAACAAAAGGCAACTTCTATTTACACTACATCGAAATCATTCAAGCTTCATTTGTGATTCTTAAAACACAAACTGATCATATCCAGAAATTAATACAACAAAGTGATGATGGAAAGCAAACGAGGTTAATACAGAACAAGCACTTGAAACCATCAATTATTCAACAAACTGGAAAGTTTAATCAAAGACACCATCGATAATTTTTCAAACCATCACTCAAAGAAACCGTCGATAATCAAAGAAACCGATGTAATCAAAGGCATAAACTATCAATAATGATCTGATGAAAACGATGAAGAAGAAATAAAAAAACCACAAGTAAATCGTAGAACTGACTGAGATGTCCGATGAAAACGAGGAGAAAATGCAAGAAGGAGGAATTGCTTACCGTCGAAAAGGTTGTCCGATCATCCACCGCTGAAAAACTGACGACAGAACAGGCCGATCATCCGTCGATTGAGATGTCATCTTTGTCGCCCTAGTTTTTTTTCTCTTTTCGCCAATAACGGGGAAGAGAAATGACGGATTCATCGAAGACCCTAGTTTTTTTTCCCTTTTCGCCAATATCCAATGACATCGTGATACGTAGAGCCTGAAACCGTCTCTAATTTGTTTCCAAATAAGAGATGTATCCAACATTTTAGAGGCCCATTGGATTATATTTAATCATTTCTAATGATAAGAGACCCAATGAAGACCAGTCTACTTTCCATTTGCATCATTCCACACAACATTTAGCCACAAACAGGTTTTTCGAATATTTATAGGCTCTAAATGCAAATATTAGGATGACCCCCATCAATCTTAGCTCTGATATAAGCTCATCTTTACTAGAAACTTGCGTTGACTTTGATTTTCTTATGGCATGTTCTTTCATCTTCTCCTTGAGAAACCGAACGCGTTTGCACCCTCTCTTCATCAAACCACCCATCATCTGAATCTGAATCCTCATCATTCACTTTCCCATGTTGACTGTAGTCCTCATCTTCGGAAATGCAGCCTCCTCGTCTTTCACTTTCATATCATTAACATTCGACCCATCAGCATTTTTGTCGTTATATTCTTCTGCAGTTTCATTTCCATCATAACCTCCAACATAACCACCCACATCGTCATTACTTCTAATATCCATATCAAAAAGTCGATACATAAAGACGTATAACATGTATCCTACTCAACTCAATTAAGCTCCGAAATTATCTATCATCTGTGACATACATAGGAGAGGTATCTAGAGCTATTTTTCCTAATATTGAATCTTGTAATGCATAAGTGATCGCCACCAAGTCAGTTTACTTGTCTAGCATAATCATCTTGAGCCATTACAATGAGTTCATCATGTGTACTACCATCATTCAAAAAGAATATCCAACCTTCTTTGCGATTATCCACCACAAAATTTTACGACCAAACACCCATCACCCATTATCCAAAAAAGAAATAGGCAACTGAACCATCTTCTGAAAAAAAAAAATCAAACTAAACAACATTAGAGATCATATTATAAAATACTAGGATACTGGTCCGCACACATGTGCGGGCTTGAACGTTTTTTATAAAGATTGAATGTAATTGGGCTGATATTAAGTATTTTAAAATTTAATATTTAGGTTTCTGATGGACTCATATTGATATATAGATCGTAATATTGATATATAGATCGCAAAAATCTGAAAAATATATAGTCATTGACAAATGTTTTGTCATATATTCCTACGGTTCAATTTATACAATTGACAGATTTTGGGAGCAACAATAGTATCAAAATAAAGTAATTATAGTGAGAATAGGTTTGGCATATATATTTCAATTTACCATCGGAGTTCATATCAATGTACCATATATGTTTAAGAATAGTAAGAATTATAAAATGTAAGAAAAAACGTGAACATAAAATGGAAAATATATTAAGATATTATTTTCTGATTTGTAGAAAAACTTAATTAAGTTAAAGTAGAACATTAATGCATAAGAAAAACACTGAAATATGATAGATAGAAATTGCATATAAGAAATAAATATACAATTCGACTTTAATAAATGATAAACATAAGTTTCTCATTCAATGTCATCAAATGGTACAAATCCCCTTGTGTAACACGTTTTTTAAAAAAAAAAGTTTCGTAGATAACACTGTGTGAGCGAAAACTCGCACAATCAAAACTTGTAAAGAAACTTAGAGGGATTCAAATTTCTAGTGTTTATCGCAAGAACACAAAAATCAAAAGATGATTTTTATTGCTGTAAAAAATGTTTAGTCTTATTGCTTAGGATTGCCAAAGTAACATTGCGAATAACATATATCGACTATTTATACAAGTTCTGTAAGATGCCTAGCGGAGAATATCGGGAGAAATTCTTGGAAATTTCCCTTATCGCCTCGCGCAGCCACCACCTTTACATTTCACCTAGGGTTCTTATGTGGGCTTCATCCTTCACGGTTAGGCCCATCACCTCTCCGTACGCGGATCCTCACGTTTCTTGGAGCACGGCTCAGCCCAATTATCCTCCTGTCGCGGCTCGGCCTAGACATTCTCCTCACACAGCTCGGTCCAGTTATCGCCTGACATAGCTCGGCTTACCCAGATGGACTCGATGAAGCCCATCCTTGACACTTACAATAGATTTCCGAGAGTTAAGATCAGGGAAGTGGGATCTGACCGCAACAAACACCATCAAACGTCATTATATATTCGTAACAGCAAGATCCTCTTACTATATGTAAGAAACAATGCAAATAAAAAAATCTCCCCAGCGTCAATGGAACAATTTTGAATAAGACATGCATTTCCTTTACCTTTAATCTGAGGCATCCATTCATTATGTTTAGCATGCCATACAAATCTAGTTGTGATTTCTGAATAAAGAAGAACTATGGCATCTTCATATATCTTGTTACATTCCATCCAAACAATGAATTCTTTTTTTTCTAGACTTGGCATCATTGGTTGTTTTTGTAGAATTTTGTTTTGTAGATGATATTGTAGTAACCCTGAAAATGCAAAAGAAACGTTTGATAAAGTAATTTAACCTCTGAATAATGCTTTTATTCCATTTAAAATAAACTACAACTGACAAAATGGTTAAGTGACCTTGATAAGTATTTGGAAATATTATTTACTAATCACAGTCAAATTACCTTGGTTCTTCATAGGTAGTAATGTGACTACTATTAATAAAGAAAGAGTGAAACTACAGAATTAAAATATCGCCAACAGTATGAAGTATAGTGAGATAAGAATTGGGTTTAACACGAATCTAGGCATATTTTAAAGCAATGAATTTGAAAATGCAATTTAGAAAGTAGTTATACAAAGACTATACTTTTTTTTTTGTTTATCTTTTAATTACCAAACTGTAAATTGGATGATTTTAAAAAATATTTAGGATATTTTAAGGATATGATGTTGGCTATAACCGTTAAAGAGATCTATATATATAAAGATAGCTTTTCTCTCTTCTGGTGCTGCCACCTCAGCAGCCACCTCAGCAACCATCTGTGCAATTATTTTTTTTAAAAACTTTTAGTTTGTCCGGTTTCTTCAGGCAAATGATGAGACACTTTAAATAAATCAAATATCACACTACCAGAAACTAAAATTAAACAAACCATATGAACGACAACAATCACGGAATCACCATCAAAAGAGAATTGCATAAACAGATTTTTCGACGGAAGTAATATTTTCCAGAAAAAAAACTCAGCTCAGCTTAACCATAAACGCTGGACTTTCTACCAATCCCAAAAAGGATCCATGAAATCCATGCCAAATTGGAGTCACCAACGGCACACCCAAAAAACCAATTCCAAAGCTGAAAAACTGATCAGCTCCCCAATATGATGACGAATAGAGGTATATCTAAGAAATCATGGGAAGGGGTTAGACCGGCACCGATTCTGGAAAAAAGCACTGCAAGAG